GAAGAGCAACATCCCCAAGATACAGAGGAAACAATGGGGGTGGGGGACAGTGAAATGGCTCAGTGGGGAAAGGTGCTTGCCACAGAAGCCTGGCTGACGAGTTCAATCCCTGGAACCCACATTAAGGTAGAGGGCAGAACTGACCCATGACGCTGTTCACTGACCTCCACACACATATGTCATGGCACATCAAAATAATAATTAAAAAAAAAACAACATTGGAGGCTCCATAAAGAGCAGAGGAAGCTGCAGATGAGGCTTAGCCACATTTTGAACCTACATGAAAGGAATTCTAAAGTTGGGTGAACCCAACAGAGAAGCAGCTTCTTGCGCTTTCAAGTGAGGAGCCCAGGCTCAGCAAGGGTCGAGGCTGAGCGTCACCACTGGTCACCTGCTGGCCCAGGGTGCAGGGCCTCCAGATTCTGGGAACTTCTTTGCACTCTGACTTCCTCTCATCATGGAACTAGATGGTCATTTTGCATTTTTTTTTTCACTTTGCTTTGCTTTGGTTGAGACAGGCTTTCTTTCAGTGGGCAGCCCAGGCCAGACTAGAACTCACAACGTAGTCTTTGCTGGCCTTGGAGTTGTGGCAATTCTCTTGACTTATTCTTTTACGTGCTGGGATTACAGGCATGAGCCACCACTTGGCTACAAGGAGCACACATGGGTCATGGTTTTAATGTGTCCCCCACAGGCTCATGCGTCTCAACACTTGGTCGCCAGCAGGTGGCGCTGTTGTAGAAGGTTGTAGAGCCTTTAGGAGGTGGCGTCTGGCTGTAGAAAATGGGACATTGGAGGCTGGCCTTGAAAGTGTTGGCCACCTCTGTTCTTACCATAGTGGACTCTATTCCCTGAAACTCTGAGCCAAGCCAACCTTTGTCCCCTTAAATTGCTTCTGATAGACATCAGGGCACAGCAACGAGAAACAGAACTAATACCAATCTAGTCAGGAGGTGTGTTTTCTTCTGTGGGAGAAAGTTTGCTTCCTTCCAGCTTGGTGGATTTTGCTGCCCCCCCCCCCCCCAAGCCAGCACAAACCCGTGAGTCCAGAAACTCTGGGTTGTTACTAAAGCCTTTTGCTCTCCTGAGGACTTGTAGCCTGTGGAATAGTAATAAGTTCAGAAAAGTTTGGTGTCAACAGGAACCCTGGGACAAACCAAGGCTTGCTGGACAACCAAGGGACCCTCGGACAAACCAACCCGAGGGACTCGCTCCTGTGTCCTGGAGCCTGAGCAGGGATCTGGCTTCACAGAGGTTGAGCTATCATACATGCCCGGTGTTTGCGGCTCGGTCCCTGTGACCTTCTCATTGAGTTTATGCCTGGAGGTCATGGCAGGCCACATTGAAAAAATCCCACAAATTCCTCCTTTAATACTGAATCATCAGCCCATCACTGCTGGTGCCTAGCAGTCTGTGGCCATAGGAGCATCCGGGAAAGGACATGCTAGGCAATAGACTGAGATGGCACCTTTAGGGAGCCCATCATGGGCATTCCAGAGCAGGTACAGACAGCCCTGTGCAAGCCAGTGCTTAGTGGTACATATGCCCCTTTTAAAAGGCTCAACTGTCCCCTCCTGGGAGGTCTCCTTGTTCCAAGTGACCCCACCCCAGTACTGTTTAGCACCCACACCTGGACAGCCCATTTCCCCCTCTAATGATATTGGTCTCCTCTGTCAGTAGCCAGGCTCTGTGAGGGCGGGGACTCAACCATTTTATTTACTGTTCCCTCTGTCTCAGGACAGCCATCAATCTTCCCTGAATGAATTAGCCTGTGATTTATGGAGACACCAGCCAAGCACTGTCAAATTTGTACGATTCAAGGATCAAATAAAACAACTGTAGGCACACGATCCACGCCATGTCACCGGCTATGAGACAGCTTTATTTCAAAGGTAGGAGGCTCGATGCTTTGTGATGCCACGGAGACAGTGACCATACAGATGCGGCATCCATATTCTTCCTCAACCCTTGTTTTGAGTGTCTGTTGGCTAGCGTCTCACTGCCCCTTTCCAGTGCCCTGACACTTCATCTCCTGAAGGTGCATCAAGGCAGATAGGAACATTTGAGGTCCTCATGGGCAGAAACTGAGGCGCCGATGAAGCTACATATGGGGCAGAGAGCAGACAGATCCCTCAGCCTTGGGAGCCTTCTACCCTGCCTGCTGGCTTGCTTTCACCTCCCAACACCTCCAGGCGGAGGGATTCACAGTGCACGGCGGTCAGGAATCAGGAGAGATGACTGCAAGGAGACGCTGTTCCTACAAAATAAACTATGACTGAAAACCCCTATATCCGTTACATATTTATGTGTAAGTGTGTGCATGTGTTTAAGGTCATGTCCATGTGAAGGAAGCCACCAAAAGAACCTGGGATACCATCACACAGATTATCTGGGGCCCAGAGAAATTGGCTTGAGAGTGTGTGTATATGCTGTACGTGTGTGCACGTATATGTCTGTGATTAGATTATATGGGTACATGGATTGTGTATGTGTGTACGTCTGTGAATAGATTATTTGTGCGTGCATGGATTTATGTGTGTATGTGTCTGTGAATATACTGTGTGTGAGTGAATGGATTATGTGTATACATGCATGTCTGTGAATAGATTGTGTGTGTATGTCTGTGACTAGATTATGTGTGTGTGCATGTATGTCTAGGAATAGATTATATGTGTGTGCATGTCTGTGAATAGCTTATGTATGTGTGCATGTATGTCTATGAATAGATTATATGTGTGTGTGTTTGTATGTGTGCATTTCTGTGAATAAATTATGTGTATGTGCATGTGGAAGCACATGAGTGTAGAAAGGGGACTAAGAAGGAGGAAGAGATCTAAAGGGAGGGGAACAAGAGAAGATGATGAAATCTGTGTGACGGAAGGCAGAAAGGAGGTGGGGGAATGGGAGGAGAGTGAGGGAGGGGTTGGATAAGAACAGGTATAACAACACATGAATGCCACCATACATATGAAAATATAATATATGAAAAATATATAAGGAAACCCATTACTTTTTATGCTAATTAAAATAATTCTAAAGAGTTCATGGGGGCTGGAGAGATGGCTCAGCTGTTAAGGGAACTGGCTACTCTTACAGAGGACCAGAGTTTGATTCCCATCATCCACATGAAGGCTTCCAACCATCCATAACTCCAGCTCCAGGGGACTCAACACCCTCTTCTAGCATATTGGAGCACATACACACTCAAATAAACATGGTTAAAAATAAAATCACATATTAAAAAGCCCATGGTGAAAAAGAATATGGCTGACCTGATGTCATTCTTACAAATGTGTGGCTATTTGTATAGAAGAAATATTGGTTTGCATGTGTTTGACTTGAGAACAGCCCCACCCCCACCCCCACATGGCCAAGTGGACAGACTGGACAGATTGAGTGACCCAGACAGGAGGCAACAGGATGTGGTAGCCACTGGCTGATTGGCAGGTATCTGTTTAGGGGACACTACCTGGAGTGGTTGGATAGGGGAACACAGATCAGTGTGTCATATCTGCTGGGCTCTCCCAAGATGCCAGAGAACTCCGAAACTTGTGATCAGTTACTGCCCATTACACAGGTCAGAGTTCCCCAGAGCCAGGGTCCCTCCCCCAAGACACCACCAGCTACATACTCACGTGTCATGGGCCCTATCTGCACCCATTTATGAGATGGCATTCAAGAGACAGGTTTAGGAAAATATTGGAATGGTGGCTGTTTCGTACCTGACCCAGGAACTCCATTTTGTCACACAAAGCCGTGATAGTGTGATCTGCCAGGTCACACTCGGGTGAAACATTTAGATCCGACCTCTTGTACGTGCAGCAGAATGGGCACTGGTTACATGTGTGTTCCCCGCTTCTCCCCACAGTATGCCAAGGGGCACACAGGAGGAGTTCTGTAGAACTGGGGACCTCAGACTAGTACCTAAGTCCCAGGGATGAGGCTAGAAGATGAACCTAAGCCCCAGAAAAGAGCACAGGTCCTGCAGATATGAGCTGAGGACCCACACAGGGAAGAGCTGAGTTCTGGAGATGGCGCTGACTTCAGGGACTCCTACGCTAAGGCTGCCCGCTCCACACCTCCCCCAGCTCTTGCTGATTGGACACTGTGCTCTGCTGTGTCAACAGCCAGGGATGACCACCTCCTGATTCATTCCAGGAGGCAATTTTCATTTTGAACACACTTATTTCCCCAAAGATACTGATTGCCTTCCTGGAAATATCAGCAACGGGCCCCACGTCATCGCCCCTTATGTGAAGTTAAAGGTTGCTCTCTGTATAACCACGGTGGCATTTATTTCTGGATTTGGTTCCCACCTGGCTTTCATAGGCTGAGCGGTGGGTGGATTCTTTGCCTCTAGAAAATTGAGCGGATGTGGAATGGTCCTCCTAACAAGTTGTTGCCCATCCAACTGAGATTGTGTGTTGCCCCATCAACATCTCCCAGGCCCAGCCCACTACTGGCCCAGTTTAGTGGCACCCTCTGCTCTCTGCTTCTCGGGATTCAGCTCAGAGAACATTTAGGAGGTCTCCTGCCTGCACTGCATGGTGAAGGTAGTGAATAATGAAAAAATGAAAAACATTTTGGTATTTTTCTAAAAGAAGAGATAAGTAATAGTGGTGTGAGTTAATGTGGTCCTAGTCTGTCAGAGGCATTTCTTGAGGTGTAGATTTTTAAAAACAATGTTCTTTATGGTAAATGGATTTAAGTTTAATTTGATAATTAAACGCAGGAAGGAAAGGAAGGAAGGAGAGAGAAGGAATGAAGAAGAGAAGGAAGGAAAGAAGGAAGGAGGGAGGGAGCGAGCAGGAAGAAAGGATGGATGGGATAAAGAGTGGACAAATACAACCACATGCTGCAGAGTGAAGAGGTGAGGGGGGGAATGGTAAGTGAAGCCCCTCCAAGAGTTGGGTACCTGAACCCCATTTGAACCTCTCCCTTTCGTCGAAACTCTCCCAGTGTCTGAAAGGCTGAAACAGATCCCCACCAGGCCCACATACCTTGATGACATCCTCATCCATGGCCTTGCACTCCACCAGCTCTGAGATGTCCCTCACTGTGCTGTTCTCCTCCACTGACACCACCCTGACAGGCATGGCCACCGTCTTCCCGGTGAGGATGGCTGTGTTCAGGAGTTCGGTGTCCTGTGGAAGAGCCAGACACACCTGGTCAAGGGACAGTCTCCATTCTGCTGGTCCCAGGGGATGCTTAGGGATGCTCCTGAGGTAAGTGTTGGGCTGCTCCTGCTAGACACTCTGTGGTACTGTCCTTAGGAACTACATCAGAAGGACATTCTTGGGAACAGAATCCTAAGAGTGCTTGACTTTTGGCTCACACATGGCCATCTTCCTTGCTTCCAATAACAATAAAGAACATGTATTCGTTTTAGCATTCAGAATTGCACAGCAGCTCGGTGGCAACTTTGAGGCCTCTGTGAAGAAAGGTACCAAGTTGGCTTGACTAATGCCCATCTCCACCTGCACAAGAGGCCCAGAGCCTGTGAGCATGTCATCTCACATGATGTGATGGCTAATCATGTGTGTCAACTTGACAACCTGGGAAGGGGACATCTCAACTGAAGAACTTGTCTCTTATCAAGTCTGCCTATGGGGTATTTTCTTGATGGATGATTGATGAGGGAGGGCCCAGCCCACTGTGGATGGAGCCACCCCTGGGCAGGCGGTCTTGCGGTGTTTATGAAAGGAGGCTGGGCAGGTCAGGAAGGACAAGCCAGTAGGCAGCATTCCTCCATGGTCTCTGCTTCAGTTCTTTCCGTGAGTTCCTGCCCTGACGTTCCTCAGTGATGGAGTGTGACCTGAGAGTTCTAAGCTGAAGTAAACCTTTTCCTCCCTGGATTCCTTTTTGGTCATGGTGTTTATCACAGAAAAACAAAAATAACAACAAAGTAGAACGCCTGGGAAGAGGGACTTGGCAGGTAGGATCAAGTCCAGGGCCTTGAGAAGAGGCATCATCCTGGATGCCCTGGAGTGGCGCCAGTGGAATCCTCAAGTCCATGAAGGACTGATTCATGAGCCTCAGAGGAAGAGCTCAGGCTATGTTGATGGAGGAGAGGCCACCATGGAAATGACCAGCCCCAAAGGTCCTGAAGACAGGAGAGGCAAGGGGAGATTGTCCCTAGGGACACTTTCTAGGAGGGGCATGGCCCTGTTACAAGCTGGCGTTCACCTCACAGTTCAAACCTCTGCTCTCTAGAAGGGAGAGAGAATGAGTCCACCCTCATGTCTCAGAATGTGGGGTAGCTGGGGCTACAAATGGCACTTTCCTCACTAAGGGCCTTCCTTTCTCTGTTGTTGATGTTCTGCAGTGTTGGGCATGGGGCTGGGAGCCTCCTACATGCTAGGCAAGTGCTTTACCACTGAGCCACATCCCCAGCCCACAGGTTTCCTCTTTGAAGTGGTTTTGTGAGGTTTTTGTTTTGTTTCGTTTTTTCAAATCAAACTGTCTTTCTCTGCTATCCCATGGGAGCCCACTCCACCACACCCACAGGCACGTCTGCTTAGTCTCTTTGTGTCAACGCAATGTTAAATTGCACACACGATCTGCTGAGTGATGGAGAAAACACTTCATTTTGAGTTTGCAAGGTGATTACCACCTGCAGGCAGGCTGGTCCTCCTTCTCTTGATGGCTTCATAGAGATGCAAACAGACCTTTGAATCTGGGCATCTACAGGCACCTTTTACCTGGAGGTCAATTTCTCCCAAGTCCCTCTCCATAAACACTGCTCTCCCCCCCCCCCCCCCAGGGTGACCTTTTGCTTGAAGCAGGCACACAGCGCAGAGAGGCTCATGATATAAGCGGAACCCCAGGTACTCAGTCCACCCCTTCACCCTGCAGCCGAACAAAGCTCTGCCTGCCTCTACAGGGAGCATGGGAATCCTGAAGGCAGGTTCCAATTATGGGTGGCCTTGACCGTGGCTATTACAGATGCTAAGAATACCATGGAAATCCCCAAGTCAAGTTCATTACAGGTAATGTGCTCAGAGTTGTCTTTCATTTTCTCTCTTCGAATGGTCTTCAGTGAACGGCTTCATTAAGCAGTGTGGTCCCTTATGGGCTAATTGTGATTAGCTTCCTAAATGGTTGTTATAGTTTTACATACACACACACACACACACACACACACACACACCTCTTCCTCCTCCTCTTCCTCATCATCTCATTTTAGCACTCATCTCTGGTCAAGAGATGGACATCAGCAATTTCTTACCGGCCACATCAGTTTCAAGGATTAATAGTCACAGAAATAAGAAAGAAGGAAAAGAAAACCTTTCGTCTGTGAAATACCCTGGCTCATACTCATGGGAGAAGTTCCCTGTATTTAACAGCCATTCCATGGATCAGTTAACTTTAGGGGAGTTTGTTGCTATGTGGGCAGAGAGAGTGGCATTCTAGATTCTTCCCTGGCTTTTCTATCCACTTCAGAACCGCCTGAGTCACATTGATCAAGGATCTTCATGATGAGGTGGCTATACCATTTATGACTATTTGACCTCCAAGAATTGTCAAATCCAGACTGCCGTCATTCCGAGTTCCTTTGCAGTACTGTACAGAATAGCACAGAGGAGGTGCCTTTAAAGAATAAAGTTACTCCTCAAAGTGCTGGAGGCTGGAGGGACAAATTGTGATTCTAGGTCTGGTGATGGTCAACAGCTGGAATTGTGTATGCTCATGCACGCCTGCAGGTGTGCCTGTGTGTATGTGCCTGTGTGTGTGTGTGTGTGTGTGTGTGTGTGTGTGTGTGTGTGTGTGTGTGTACCCACGTGCCCATGTATATGTGTATGTACCGGTATGTCTGTGCCTGTGTGTCTGTGTCTGTGTGTGTGTGAATGTGTGTGCCCATGCACATGCGTATGTACCTGTGTGTATGTGCCTGTGTGCCTGTGTGTGTGTGTGTGTGTGTGTGTGTGTGAATGTGTGTGTGCCCATGTATATGCATATGTACCTGTGTGTATGTGTGTGCACATGTGTAGGGATGGAACAGGCACATGTTTCTTTCACTGTCCCAAATACCTTTCCAGTGGAGGACAGTTCTTAATGACGTGAGTGCCACACTATTTAAGAGCCTAACGTTGTACTGCTTCCCGAAACCCAGACTCTAGCAGGATCCCTGGAGAGGAGCATGCTCTTCACAGGATGTGGTGGGAGCAGGGATGCCTCTCATTTCCTGCCTCAGACCCAATCCAGAGAAGTTTGGTGGCACAGGCCACCTCTCTTCAGTCCCTTCTGGACATGGAGCAGCTTTCTGTCTCTGTCTGTCTGTTTCTCTCTCTCTCTCTCCCTTCCTTCCCCCCTGTGTGTTTGGGAATGAGAGAGAGAGAGAGAGAGAGAGAGAGAGAGAGAGAGAGAGAGAGAGAGAGAGAAAGAGACAGAGCCCAAGCCCTCTGTATGAACACATACCATCCTGTTGGCTACATGAGGGCCAAACAGGGACTCGTGAATAGGGTGTCAGAGCCTCACAGAAGGTATGGAGGTGCCGCCACCACCTGGAGGCTTCAAGCTAGTAATTGCTTCTCTGCTCCCCTGTCTCCCCTCCCCGCTCCTATTATACATCAGGTAACTAGTCTGCTTTACAAAAAAGAATCAGCAACACAAGACGTGTTAAGTCACTCCTGTCCCTTCGCATCCGGAGCGCCTGAGGTTCCCAAGAAATATCTCCACGTGATCTGTTCTCACATCCACTGCTGTGTCCATTTCTGGACATAGCAATACAAATTGTTATTTTTACCTTTTCAATGAAGAGAAGAGGATTGCTTTTGATGCACTAGGAAGTCTTAGGTGCCGACTTACTAAAAATGACAGGGAAGTGACCATTTGTGCCTGGGGTGCTTATCCCTGGAGTCTCTGTGGGGAGCATCCCCAAAGTTCTCTGGAGAGGAGATTCTGGGTGTGAAAGAGACAGGGTGGAGTATGATTCAGCTATGACAAAGACTGAGCTGCTGACAGGCTACCGGGCAGTCAGAGCAGAAAGCATGACACCAGGTAAGAAAATCTAGATCCAGTGAAACCATGGAACAGGAAGCCTATCAGGGATTTCCCAGGGTTGGGGCAGGGACTATGTCTGTGGATGAGTATGGGGTTTCCTTCCAGCGGTTAAACATTGTAGAATTACATAGAAGCTCTGCATGCTGTAATCACATGCATGACAGCACATTTCCCAGTTAAGTGGCAGGCTCAGGGGTGTTATCATCTAAGCAGGGTGCACCCTGGTCCTTCAGGTCCAGCAGGGCTCCGATAGTCTGATGACAAAGCAGGATTCCCAAAAGCATCCCAGTTGGATGGCCACAGTCACCTAGGGTTGAAGCATTCGAGTCCTCTATGATCACCTGGGGCTGAGGTATTCTATTTGGTGCCATTTAATGGTGCTGGGGGCTGGAGGGATTGGTGTGGGCAATGAGGTCCTTATCTGACCTCACTGTCCTTCTGCTGGTCCACTCCTTCCTTGCACCTTGTCTTAGGAGTTGTCTTCGAAGAACATTTCTAATGCTTTCTCCCAAATCTCTGAAAATGAAACAAAACTTAGCCCCGTTGTGAGGGGTCCACATCCTTTATCTCTCTCTTTTCTTCTTCTAGGACCTCCTGAATGATCTCATCTAGAAGGACACAGGTCTTCTCTGGATTCAGGAATAGGATGAGCTGCAGACTCCTGTACAAGAAGCTGAGATGATCCCAGATACCAGATGACACCAAGAGAACCTGTAGTCCCTGTCCCCCCATACTGGCTGCACTTAACCTCAGATACGTTCATGAGGAAATCCTAGCTCATTGTAGTGGGTCTGTGACTGAGCCTGGCATGGAAGGGGCACACCTCTACCCCAAAGCTAGACACCTGCTTCTCCGCCTGGGTTAAGGCCACCTTCTGTAGGCCCTTGTCGTTTGGGTCACCCTCATCACCCATATCAGCCTTCCCCATGGCTGCCAGTGAGTCAGACACCCAGATTTCCTTCCTTACAGGGACAGCGGCCACTGGGTCGGCAGCACTCACTTGCAGGCTCTTACTGAACTTGACCCCCAAGTTCAGATTCACAGGTGCTGAGCCTTACGGCTTCACATCTTCAGGGGACAGAAGTCTTCCCACCTGCCACAGAAATATTTCACACAAGCTTTCATTCAGTACAGCTTAAAA